TATGTGATGTATAAACTATAAATTACTATAATTTACCTAACGAAAATATTGATACTTTTTTTAATTGTGAAAAATCAGCCTTTTGACTTAAATAAGTGTTTTTACCATATATATTTTTTTGAAAATCAAATTTACAAATTGGCTATATTGAATATTTTGAAAAAATTTTTTATCAATTTTTAAGTTTTTTATTTTCAGTATTAAAAAATAAAAAAATGTAGCGCAAGTGTCTATGGATTGTATTTAAAAGAAATTTTTTAAAAATATTGATTAGAACAAAAGTTATTTCATTTGTCAGATCTCTGTGGGACACCTGTATATAAATGTAATGTACCTATTATTAATGTTATTATTTAACAAGTAATTCATTAAAATTAAAATCATTTTTTTAAATCTTTTGTACCCAACTCATTGTCAACATTTGACTTATCTGTTTTGTTACTTGAACATGTGATTTAATTTACTAATGTTCGTAGTATCGAAATTAATATAATTTTAATAATGTATAATTTATAAAATTAGTTATAAAACTGTATAAACTAACAGAAGTTTAATATTATTGTATAATAAATTATAAAAGTAGGTATCTAATTTTATATCCAACTTATTTTTTTAGAACAATGAGCAGCACAAATAAATTATCAAAAATTTAATTTTGGATACATTCAAAAGTCAAAACGCTGCTATAATACAAGTTGTTTATGYTGATATACAGTTCAAAAATAATCTTGAACTAGTTAACGTATTATTAAACGTTATACCTTTTTTTCTTTTCAATAATTTCTTTAAAATAAAAATGCAATTACACATAAAATAAACCATTTACGTTATTTGAAAACACCTATCATTACATAGATCTGTATTATAATTTATATTTTATTTATAAAGTGCACTTGAAACATTCACTAAATGATCTCTTATTTGATTTATTATTATCATATTATCGTATAATAATCTCTGTTTATAGTATGCATATCAAATTTAACAAAGCAAATTTGATAGTAATAAAACAAATAAATAAATTGTATCTACTGTAAATTATGATCAAATAACTAAATCATTATTTTATATTAAAACTAAACTGTGTTATTATAGTTGATTATTCCCTTCCGTTTACACTCAACATTGTATACAGTTATGGAGCTGAAAATATATACTACGTATTAACACGAATTCAAAAAGACGTATTTATTTTTAAATCTTTATTATTTTTATATTTAAAGGCATTACGGTTGACTGTATTTGGTGCGTGTGACACACCACCTAGAGGAGAATGGCTTCGTACTGGATTCGTGTTTAGAGAACCCGAGAAAGAGCTATCGTACGGCTTAAGAGCACGCAGAAATGGTACAAGAGGAATGCTGACTACAATACAAGGATATATACTCAAACATTTGTTATTCACAAGCACTAAAAACTCGTAATTATATTTAAGATATTAAAAAATAAAATAAAAATAATGATATATTTTATTGTTTACCAATTTTTTTCTAAGCCATTTGATTTATTTTTATTCATTATTACTAAATAAATTTTTCTTTATATACATATATATATATATATATATATATATTATAAAGAGCTGTCTATATGCATAGCTTATAAGTATATTTTTCGTAACATGGATGGAAACTTTTTAAACTAAAAAATTATAGCTTATTATATGCGAATAATATAGATATATTTTTTTTTATTATTTTTACTAATTAACCCACAACGACATAGGCAATTGGGTGATTATTCTTAGTAGATTTTTAACTGTGGGCGTTGATACGGTAGATCGGCAACACGTGGTTACCCATCCAGGTACTTAGTGGTAGCGGCCATGCGTACTTTCATCATATTGCGTGATTGGTTGCAGCAACCACGCCACACCTAGCCACAATAATTTAAATTGTATTCCAATTCTCAAGGGCTTAATTCATGATCAACACTGTTACTGTGTTACACAAATATTGTATAGATAAAATTTTCTGATTTTAAATTTTACAATTTAACAAATTTTCCTATTTGTAAATATTAAAATATCTAATCATGATTTCATGTCAATCACCAAATTGTATCATATCCAATTTAAACATTTGAATAAAATTATATAATTTTTATTAGATGTATGAAACCATCTAAACAGCAGCAATTGGATGCTCTTTGTAAATCAATTACTGAAATTCTTTGGAAGATTGGCAACAACGAAAAAGTTATAGTATGTTTACCACAAGAAAAGAGTTACGTAGCACACTCGTTAAACTATTTTCAAGACAATGTTACCGAAAAAGTAAGGGATTACAATCATTAAAGTTAACTCAAAACATATAATCTAGTCATAATTTAGTTCAAAGAAATCTGTTTAGTTTGAGCAAAATCCAATCTATGATTTTATCATTGTGGCACACAGTGACGTATTTAGGGGGGTGGGGGCTAGTGGGCCACAACCCCTCCCTGAATTACAGTTTTAACTGTTAACTTTATTGTAGTCTCTAGGTGCTAGATAATTATTGTAAGTCGCTATATATTATGGCCCACCCCAAATATTACTTCTGTATATGCTACTGGTGGCACGATTGAATAGTTTCTATTTATTAATTTAGTTTTTATTTAAAGATACCGTCGGCCACGGAAAAGTAGAAGCCATTAGAAATTAGTAGTGATTCACAGAAATGTATTTATAAATGAATTATGAGATTTACGTGATTTTATAATTTTAGTCTGCAATTCATAACTTCCGTTTTAATGTCACATATATCTAACAGTCATTATATTATGTACCTATTTAATTTTTATTTATTTGGTATGAATAACAATAATCATATTATATGTAATTATAGCTTCACTTATTCGAGTTGACCGATATTCAAGACTTAGAAATTTTCCTCAAAAGATATTTACATCTGGTAAGCATAACATTTTTTTGAAAAATTAAACGTTATATTTATATGTTAATATGAATGATAATTTTCCAATAAAACAATATAATTCATAAAACAACAAATATAACATCAATTTCATTTAAATTTTAAATATAATGTTAAATTATTTAAATTACCTAAATTTACGATAAATAGTTTAAATACATAATAATTTCGTTAATTGTGTCTAGTTCCAAGATGACCCTGGACCCGGATCACTGTTGTTGCTTTACAGTTCAGTGCTAACCAGAGGGCTATCCAAGTAATTGTTTTTTTATTTAATTCGTAATAACATCATACGATATAATATAATGCTAACTATTTTGTAAAAAAAAAACATTAATATTTTATAATCAAACAAAATTATAAATATACTCTAAGCAACATAAATATTACTTATACCCCGGTATACCAGGTAAAATCTCCTTAACTATACAATTTACTGTTATTATTTTCACATCGAAGGGTGTTAGCATTGGTTATCCTTCTTAATCTCTAGAACTGATAATTTAAATTATATGTCGTTTATCAAACCTACTTATTGTACATAATTTTATAGATTTTAGATTATATTAAATAATAAAAAAAAAGTCAAAGGTATATTATGTTGAGTGAAAATCGCTGAAAAGATTTAGGAACGTATAATGATCTGTTAACTGATGTTATGAAAGGTTATTAACGTTTCTCAATGAGTAATTTATTCACTATTTAAAAGCAATAAAAGTTCTCAGAAGAGAAACGTCAAAGTTATATTTTGGTTTGAATATTTTCATAATAATTGTGATATATTTATTTAGGCAGAATAAATACTGATCAAGTAATATATATAATAATTTCAAATTAAATATACTTTGCATTGTGATCGATAACTAATACAATATAGCATTAACGATTATATAATCTAATAAAATTTTAATTCACTAAATTATGTTTGTTGTATTCGTTGCTTATTYGTTAACTTTCATGTTATAATAGTATTATTTCTACGGTTTCACAAAATATGTTAAATAATTCACTTTTTATGTAAACAAATCACTATTCTTCAAATAATTTTAATTTWAAAAAAATTTGCAATTTATACTACTATGATAGAAATTTATAATGAATATATATAATGTATCTATATTATATATAATATATATAATATAATATAATGAATATAATCTTTTTCATATAAAATAGTTAAAARTGTATAATTTATTCATAAGAATTAAATTTTTATTACAAACAATTAAATGTGATCTTGATAAATATTGGAATTGTATCTTGTTCAACATGTTTGTAATACAAATAAATAAATTGTATAAATCAAAAATACTACATCTAGTAGATAAAAAAAAAAAACTTATAAAAAGTTTCAACAAAAGCAAGTAACTAAATATTGTAATTGTCATTTGTTTACTAATAATTTTAATTTTATATTATTAAACCATATATAGTTAAAAACCAAAACTTCTGACTAATAATGATCGAAAATTGCATATGCCTATAAATAGTTTAACTTAAGTCGAAATACCTATGGTCATTTTTTTAAAGTTACATCAAAAACCGAAATCGATTTTGTCGAAAATTGATTGTACGTAAAAATTCCCGTTTTTTCTTTAATTTTTAGTTTGTTTATCCCAATTATTAAGAAAAATATTGTGAACACTTTTGACTCCTCAAAGTACCAACTAGATTCACTAATGTACTGAAGTCAAAAATCGAAGCACTTTTACTGCCCCAAAACSTGATGACAGACACAAAAAAAAATACAAAATACACAATAGGTACAAAAAAAAAAACACTCATCATTGTAAAATCAATACATTCCTCGCTCCACTCAGAATCTAAAAAGTGTAGGCAATRTCCTGATATGAATGTGTAAAAAATACAGTGTTTTTTTTTTTTAAGGCCGTGGAAATTGAAACGATTAGACAAAATAAAACAAGAAAAATTTAATATAAAATTTCCCTATAAAAATGTTTAATATAAAATATCACATAATAGTAAAACTAATATGCTAGATGTGCTCAGAATCTAAAATACAACCTGTGGAAGTTTTGTTATTGGACAATTATAATATTAAAATTTTAAAATATGATATTTAATAATACTAAGCATATTAAGCTGTATAAAAACATCTCTATATTATAGAATACAACGAGGACTGTGCAATGCACAACCTGGAGTGTATAGGTTATTTTTTTTAAATTTAGTTAAAATACATAAAAATGAAAAATAGGTAAATAATAAAAAATATCTAAGATTATCCTAATTTTTATGTTTAATATAATTATCAAAATATGTTGAGTCTAGTTAAAAATAGCTAAAAATTAATAATGTACTGCAGTAATAAAAAGGTTATTTTTGTGAAGGGATTATGCTAATCAATATGTTTAATTAGACCTATGACTGTCAAATACTCAAATGTCAATATTTATCAACTTAATTCAATTTAATGAAGTAACGAGCATTACCATGTTTTCTGCTGTTTTATAAACGAACATTTTCAATTATTTGAAATTGTCTAAATGGTATACAAACTACACGGTGAAAAATTAAGCCATTCATTTAATGGATTTAAAATTGAAATTACATTATTTTTTATAGTTAACTAATTTAAAAATAAATAAAAAAATTATTTATTTATGTTCAGTTGTATTCTGTTGTACTTTTATTCCAATACACAGGTTTCATTAATTTTTTTTTTAAACATTTTTAAAAGAAATCTCAACTTTAAAATAAAACACGAACTTGGAAATTTAAGAGAAACCAAATATAGAATTTCATAGGATAGCCAAATGAATCACTTGTCACTTTAATATTATTCTATGGAGTCAAAAGGGACTTTTTTGACTCAAACTAAACTTTGAAATACTGCCTAGGTACCTCTTTATTTATTTTTTTAATGCAAACATAATTATATTTTAACATTTCACATTAGTTGTCGCTAAATAGTTTGATTATGTTTATTTAAAAGAATTAAATGCAATTTGTATTTTTCGACTCAATGATGCGTTTTTACCTAGGTATCTACCGACTGTAAATTATACTAATTATATTATCATTTAGGTGAATTTTTTACAACAATATTTTTTATTTTTCATTATTAAAAAATAGTGAATTTACAATCTATACATGGTATAATAAGTAAATTTGATGACAAAATAACAATATAACATTAAATACAGAAAAGGAAGCAGTGCCACCTGACAAGAAATTAGGGTTTTAATTTTTAATATTTTCTCCTTAGTTTTTTTTTTTTTATTAGGCATTGAGAAGATCTCAAGGTCATTGCCCCTTTTTAGCTTTCTAGGAATAATTGACGTAGAGGATATACTTTTAATTATGGGATTTAGATGACTTCGAAGTGAAATTTTAAGTAGTAGTATTTGGCTAAGTCGTTGAGGGTTGGGATGTTCAGGTGTTTGTGGTGGTTTTTGTTGGTAACGTACCAAGGGGCAGCGGTTATTAGGCGTAGACATATGGATTGGGATGCTTGCAAGGTTTTAATGTTAGATGGTTTAGCTGGCCTCCATGTTGGATGCCGTAAAGCCAATTCGGAAGAATTATTGATTTGTATGTTGTAAGTTTGTTGGCCAGAGAAAGTTTCGATTTTAATAGAGGTCTCAGGAGATGCAATCTAGAGTTCACTGATTTACGTTTTTGTTTAAGATGCGAACTCCAGTTAAGGAGCTTGTCGAATATTAACCCTAGGTACTTAACTTCGTCTGACGAGGGAATTACTTTGTTGTTAAACGTGACAGGATGAGGACAAACAGATTTTCGCATTGTAAAAGTTACATGAGTATACTTGTTTTCATTTATTTTAATTTTCCACCGTTTTGTCCATAAGTTGATCATATTAAGGTGACTTTAGATCATCCGACAAGCAGTAGCGGAATCCTTGTGTGACACTGAAATTAGTGTGTCATCGGCATATGTATCAAGAAAAGTGTAGGGTAAAGTGTAGGGTGTTTTGGGGATGTCGTGAGTAAACACAGAATAAAGAAAAGGGGCGATGTCACTTCCTTGGGGGACACTTGCACTAATACGATAGCTGGTTGAGTAACTATTTTTCAAACGAACCTTAAAGAAGCGGCCGGATAGATAAGATTTTATTAATAAGAAATATGGTGCTGGGAGAAACTTTTTTAGTTTGAAGAGTAGCCCTTCGTGACAATAATATTTAATTAATTTACCATCATAAAAGAAAACTAGTTTTTAAAACATCAAATAAAAATCATTAAAATGTATGGTCGAAATTATTTAATAAATCCAATGCTATTTAGTGTACCTATTTTAATTAGTTTGTTACTGTCAATACGTTATACATTTATTCCATGATAAAAGTTGATTATAGATTCAAAATACATTTAATTATGTTGTTGACATTATAAAACTAATATCGCACTTAATTTTACTATTGTTTGTGACATAATATATGTTATAAATCTATTTATAAAACTATAATTGTAATCAGTCTTTTCCAATTTCTTAGATTTTAGGGTTCTAAAGTGAATACATAGAGAATTTTTGATAGGTTTGAGAATACTATGATTTTACGAAGAGTTTTTTTTATTTTTAAATAATAATGATAGGTACATCTTAGAATAAATAAAAAAACGGCATTAATTTAATTTAATTTTTTTATTAATTAACCCACGGYAACATAAGCCTTTGGATGTGGGAAGGGTACTCCAGATTTTTGGGTTGGATAGATTTATTGGTACATGTGTATGGTTTTTGACAAAATTTTAAATTGGACACCAGTAGGTTTCTGCTATGCCCGGGTGGGGGGCGGCAGCCTCTCTCTCCAGACAGCATAAACTACCCGGAAACCGATGCCGCCCATGACCAAGATTCGAACCTGAGACGGTGCGCGTTGCAACTGACGCTTAAGTCCACCCGGCCACTACACCCCCACAATAATTTTAATAGCAACGTTTATTATTTTCGTTTTAGAGTTAATTATAATATATTGTGTTGTATATTTGCTATAATCAACTTATCGTTGCTTAAACATTATTTATATTCTTATAGTACTATGACTTAATTTAAATTAAAATTTTTAAAAACTCTATAAATGGTAACAATAACCTAAGATGATCAAAATTATGATTCATTGATCGATTTCTTATTAATTGTTTATACGAGATGTATTTATGAAACAATACTGATACTCTACCTATATAGCAAGTTTATATATCATTAAATCAACAATTAAACGAAATAAGTTTAATACAAAAATGTTTTTACAACATTAAAGCTTATAAAATGTTCTTTAAATATTTAAAATATATTTATATTAATAGATATAAATATAAAAATATATTATTTTTCAAAAGTAGGTATGTCTTAAAATTAAATTGTTTACTCATATTTTTGTTTTATTTTTTAATTTTTTCACGATTAAAACTTCAATGATGATAGTTATTAAAACAAGAGGATGATAAAAATTATACTTTTTCTTAGGTTATTTAAATATTTTTGTGTTAAATCTGTATAATCCAGTAAAGATATTTTTTAGTCTAATTAAAATGCTCAAATATTATGGTTTGTACTTTTTTTTTTACATTTCTTAAAAGWTTTTTGCTCCTTTAATTTTATGATAATACAAATAAATAACTTATTCGTGTTATTGTATTTCTTAATAATTATTCTACAAGTGTTAGTACTTAGTTTTAGTATTTTTCGATTTTTTCGATTTTTGATTTACATCCTATACCCACTATAAAGTGTGTGTAATATAAATTAGGATTGTATCAGATTTAATGGATGAAAAAGTGTATCTGATATCAAGTGCTGAGGAAGGGTCCATATGCATCGTAACACTGATGCTCACTGGTAGAGCTACTCCTAATTTGCATAATGGTATTGTGAATATCGGGGACGAACAACATTACGTGAGTTATAGTTTTATTCATATAAATAAGATAAATAATATATTGTTCAATAATATCAAATTATTTAAACATTTATTTATTTATTTTAAGGCCATACCACATTATGGAATATTAGCTAGAAGTGAAGTTGGTCTACTGGTACATTATGAAGAAACTTCTACACCGGTACAAGTTACACAGATACCTGGTTCTCGGTTAAAAACGCCGTCCTATCCTATTTGGATAACTTGCGCTAAAGGCCATTACGGCATACTCTTCAACACTAATAGGGAATTATTAAGAAATCATTTAGCTGAAAGAAGGTATAGAGCAATATTTATTTTATAATTACTTATAGAAATATTTAATGTTTATAAAATTAAAAATATATCACTTATAATTTTGAAACACGCTATATATATACAGTGGAACTCAGCTTATGCTCACTTTGGGACCKGCACAAAGTGAATCTTATAAACAATGATTCTTATAGATGAAGTGGAAAAAAATACTTAATAATTAATAATTAATTAATACTAAATACTTATTAATTTCATTTTATTACAAATCTAGCTTTTATTTTAAATTACTTGAATGCATACATATAAACATATTACACATACTTATTAGTGAATAAATGAAAAAATCATAATTAAAAATTGTACATACACACATTGCAAAGCATGAATCGAAACCAGTAATAATCAACAAAAATATGCTATTTTTATAAACAAATTTATTTCCAAAAATGTTTATTTTCTACCATCTTTTTTTACGAAATCTGAATGTTAAAAACAAAGTAGTGAGTCTTATAACCGAATTTTTTATAATGTTTTTGGATACGTCCGGACTGTTCCAGACAATTTGGAGTCTTATAAGCGACGTCCATTATTTATATAGATTTTCATAGCAATATAATATGCGTATATGTATATGATTTTAACAGCTATTGATATATATATATATATATATGGCTGATATTATGCAATAATAAACAATTCTTATTATATTATTGGTAAATAAACATTAAATAAAATATACTGTCACTCAAATACAAAATATATACAATAATGTAGTTTAATGTTCGTTAATTTGATGTATAAATTTGTATTGACCTTTCCTTTAAACTTTGGCTATTTACTGACTATCACTTATTAAGACTCATTTGTATTAAATAAATAAAAAAATAAAAAAACAACAATAACGTGAAAATATTTGAATTATAAAATACTGTAGGTTTAGTAGTAAGAGGTTAATTGTAAAAAAGGTGATTACATTAAAGATTTTAGTGGATTAAAGTTTTAATATGTTATGCACAATTAAATAAAAGTAAAGTTCATTTATACAATTTCAATTTGATAAGAAATTAAACGCCTGAAAACCGAAGTGCATCAGTGATGAAAACATGAAAACACAACTATTTAAAAATGATTGTAGCTATTTATGCATATTTATTCTTAATAAACAAATAATATTCTAAAAAAAACCATAATTCAGTAAAAAAAAAAAAAAAAACAATTGTTAGTAATTTTCAATATCAAAATTGAAACAATTAAAATAAGCGGGTAAGTGGATGTCGCTCTGCTGTACATTAGGTGGTGGGGTGGACCTCTGACTAGGGTAGGTTA